ATAAATTTTTTGATAAACTTTCTTATGACATTTTCTATAATAATGTCGGCATTATTGCTATTGTATTATTTATACAATACATTATATATATATATATATATATATATATATATATATGAATCAAACGCTCGGTGAATAAGTTATACTTCATTGTTTCTAATTCTAACAATGTAATCAATTATTGATCACGCAGTATTGTGTTACACTTAGCACAATATACGTGTATGTTTTGTGTAGCAAAATCAGGACGATATTACTAATTAATGTATTAAATCTATTTTCGGGAATCTATAATATACAGAGAATTCTCGACCTCTATAATTTTACGTGCCACATAATAGAAAATATTTACACGAATAGAGAATTATATCTATTATTTTATCTTTCAAAATATTACATGAGATCTCATTATGACATTTCGGTGTAAATTACAACAAATGATTTTGACTTTAGAATGGGGCCCTCTTCAAATATCAAATGAATATAGATAGAGTGCGTTAAATGCTATTAAATCAAATTGTGCAATATAAACGCACCTCTGTATATTGCATATTCAACGCACAGACAGAAGAGAGCGGGGATAGCAACATATCACATAAAATATGTATTTTAACTGGGTGTTATACGGATACGGTTGTAGTATATGTGACGACACTACATTAACCTAATCGAGTTGAAAATATTAAGCACACAAAACAAATCTCTAATAGATTATTTACGGAAGAGATTTTCATTACTGAAGATTAGGCCTATCATAATAATTGATATATAAATTTATAATATACATATTATATACAAAGTAATTATTGGATATTAATATACAATCCTCTGATTATAAATTATAAATTATAGATATGTATAAATATATACAAATTGTTAATTATTGAAAATAGAATAATTATACTTAGAAAACATCGAATTATTTGAAAAAAATGTGGTCTCTTATATACAAATATAGTTATTTTTTAAATTGAAAAACAGAATCAAAATTTTATCGATTGTGTTAAAATTCTGAAAATGCAATTCTCACCTTTTATAAAGATTTTATTTTTTATTTGATGCATTTTATTTTGTATACCTATAATTGACAACATATTTTATTCACGATTTCTTATTGTTATTATTTGAAAGTTAAAACTGTTCTATGCATTTTTCTCTGTAAATGATTTCTCACATATAATCTTCTCTCTCTCTCTCTCTCTCTCTCTTTTTCTTTCATCAACGTATCTTCTCCATTTGCACTCGCGCGATTCACTGTTAAGGTAAATATTTGCACAACTTTCATCTCGCTTCACATTCGCTCGCGTCTTGCCATGGGTAGCTCAAAGTAAACGCACGTAATTGTTTACTTGCACCTTACCCAGGAATTTAGGCTCTTCCACTCGTAAATTTTCCTAATTAGCGCTAATTATTCAAGGCGTGCGTGCGGAAAGTTGCGGGCGAGAGCGATTTCGCGTATATTATGAATATAGAATTCGCGGGATATCAACAAAAATGTAAGATTGCAAGACTATGCAAAACTATCAGTGTCATAAGTAATCACTGGGAAAAAAAATAATGTTCAAACGGTCACGCGCTGTCAAACAAATATTTGTCAAAATGAAAATATATTATGTTCCAAATTTATTTGAACATTTAAATATTTCAATTTAAAAAATTCCATGAACTAAACGCGTTTAGTCATTTTAACATTGTTTTTTTTTTCTCAGTGTTGTAAAACTCACTTTTTCACACGTGATTAATTCAGGATTTATTAGAAATATTTAATTTTTAATAATTTAATTATATATAGAGAGTTATATTACTCGCTATTTTAGGCAAGTTTGGATTATTGGGCTTGTTATAGTAACGGTTTATTGATATATGAAATGGCGTTGCTAACCACAGAGCGCAAGACAGCATTGAATATATATGAAGAGAACTGAATACAATCGAAAACCTCAATCATTCGATTTAATTGACCTAATCTAAAATGCAAATGTGTCATCGGTTATTGGGGAATAATCCTCCTGATTTTATTTATTATTGATGAATTTGTGAAAAAGAATCGGAATGATGACTTAGATTATACATACATATATATTGAATTTTGTAACGTTGGTAAAATACGATGTGATTTTAATGAATAATTTTTTTGTTGCTCATCTCTAATCGTCGGATTTCGAAAACATAGTCAGTTTTAATACTGCAATCTTATGTCTGCAGAATATAGTATCTTTAGATATGTAAAGAGCGGAAGAAGTTGAAACCACTTGGAAATCCGTAAGAGAGAAAATTATCGAGACGTCCAAACTTTGACGGCCCGTAGGATATTATGCGACAGTTTCTGCAGCTTTTGTTTCGTTTCTTACATAAATTATGAATAATCCCCTTAATTCTTCCTTTCCAAAACTTATGACGAGGAAGGCGCGTGATTTTAATATATTAATGATAGCTTAGCCTTAGCCTATGATAATAACAATTCGAGTGAATTTAAACATCCAATAAAGATATAAAAAATAAATACACATATAAATCAAACTAATAGGATAAAAATATCCCCTAAATATAATAATAAATTTATATTCTATTATATAAAACTAATAGAATTATATTCTTTTAAATAAAACTAATAGAATAAAAATATCCCCTAAATAATAATAAATTTATATTCTATTTATATTTAATTCTATTTATTCTTATTTCTACTTATATTTCTATTATATTATGCGTAAAATATAAATATGGAGTATTATATGTGGATATACTATGAATAATGCACGAGTAATTTAGATTCCCTATAAAATGGCTTTAATAGTTAACTCAACAAAACATGTAGCATAATAAATATTTATATTTATTTGCTTATTTGTAAAATAAAATTCTATAAAGAAAAAATAAATGATTGAAAAATATAGGAAAGAGTGTAAACGCGAAAACGTAATATATATACCTACTATATTATTCAGTTTTGAGATCATTTGTGTAAGAAATACGTAAGAACAATTAACGTTTCGAATAGTGGGCATACCTTAAGGTTGGCTCACGCCATAAATAACGGCCGACGTGCTAGCTAAATTCTAGTCCGACCCAACTAGAACGTAATTAGAAATCCGCCACGAGAATCATTGCCAAGTACCGAGCTGATTGGAATTTTATAGCACGCTACAAATTTAAATAACCTCAATTTCTTTGATAACGAAACAATCAATATTTATGCAAGACACTGCTCATTTTTTCATCCTGTAGTAATTATACAGTCTAACAAATTAACAAGATTTAATTTGAGAATAAAATCGATAAATATGCTTTTTACCTATTTATAATTCGAGAGGGATGTTTTTGCAAACTTTTTACTTATATATATATATATATATATATATATATATATGACATTATTTTTGACATTAAAATTGTCACCGTCAAATTCGTTAGCGAAGTTTGGCCAGATGTTTTAGGAATATCCTTCACGGATTGTATTATATTACTTTCGTATCATAAAATCGGAGACGAAACAACGATTCTTCGTCGATTAAATCCATCGACGCGCCGATTACTAATTTTGACGTGTAAGCCAATATTTACCCCAACCCTTAGGCCATCTCGTATAACTGTCGATATTTATCGAGAACAACTCTTTAATACCGGCACCGTACTGGTGTCAATCGTTGTTCCGATATACCCGTGAAATCGATAATTGTTCTTCGTTTATCGGTGATGCGAGCTTTTTGATGATCTCCCGATAAACTTTTTTCTCGCAAGCAATCAAAGTTACAATTGGATTTGTGTGACGAGCGACGCTGCGACAAAATATGCGTGATGTGAAAATAATGTGAATTATTAAAGAACTAAGTTAAGAATGGTTGAATATGAAAGAATTGTTAAATAAGATTGATTGAGAGGCCATGCCACAAATCGTGACAGGTCTGATCGAATTTTCAATTATTATTATTATTATTATTAATCAATATTAATGATATTTAATCTTATAAGCGACGCGCTAAATAACGCGCAATGCTTTTACTTTTCTCATTCAGTTTCGCATAAATCGAATTTTAACGTGGTAATTCTAAAGTACTGTGCGATAAAATAATATGTGATACACATACATAAACATATGCACTCGCATGCGTGCGCGTATTATGAATTTAATAAATTAAATTTACGTGGATATATTTATATATATAATATAAAATCCGTGAAGTTATATATTGTATATCATACAATTAGTATTTTGATTTAAAAGATTGTGTAAATTTTTTGATGCGGATAAATTTGTTTTAACGATATACGTTTTGATATGTCTAACTAAAAAAATAAAAAATAAATAAATAATAACAAATAGATAGTAATGATGATGATGATAATCAAATACAAATGATACATGCGAGTATGTAGATAGCTTTCTAGTGTCAAAGGGACATTCGCAATCGCTAATTGGCGCGTCGTGGATTAATTAATGCCTCGCAATCCCATTGTGCAACAGTTCGTTTTCTACTTTCGTGAAATAACGCATAAAACTAACGAGATCGTTAGCGACAACCGACATTTTCGCGGAATTAATCGATCCTGCGCCGATTAATTGAATTAATCCGTCATTTCCCTTTCCATATTCTACATTTAATTTAATTTTTTCGAAATTAATATATATATATATATATATATATATATAAATTAATAACAAATTTAATGTTATTGAAGAATAAGAGAAATTTTACTCTGTATTACGTTTTAAATTAAAAATTTAATTCTTTTTTAGACATTTGCAAGATTAACTTTTTATCGGAAATAATACTTTTTCTATTCAAATAGTTTCTAGAAGTTATATCTATTTTAACTTCTTAAAGCAAACTTTCTTTAAGCATACGGTTCCACTGAATTAAAAATAAAGGTTTTTAAGGTAACTTTTTCACGGATTTAAGAAAAATCCATTTTCACATTTCTTTTTTACATTTTTATTATTATCATTATTTAAAATATCAAAAGAGAACTGCTATTTGAAAATTTTTCTTTAATTTCAGGCGATGAAGATGAGCAAAGTGGGCAACCAAACCAATTCACAGGACCCACAGGCAGTGAATTCACGCGTTTTCGTCGGAAATCTGAATACATTTCAGTGCAGCAAGACCGATGTAGAACGAATGTTCCAACGCTATGGCCGTCTGGCTGGTGAGTTCGTTATAAAAATTGTAATTTGCAAAAATTTTTTTAATCTGCTGAAAGAAAGATCGTTAAAAATTAAACTGCCAAAAGCTTTGTATTCCTAAAAATCTTTTTTAAAAATATGTTTCGAGTTAGATATACTGAAAAATAGAATTTTAAAAAGTAGATTGCACAAAAAGTGCAACGAAAAAGTGTGAATAGTTAAAAAACTTTTGTTGAAAATAACTCTTATAAAATATGTTTAATATATGACACACTACTGAAAATAGAAAACTTGAAAATTTTGCTTCATAGAAATTGAATTGAAGACAATTAAAAAAGTAAAATCTACATATGCGCGATCTATGTGTTACTTTAAAAAAAAAATTGCCATAGAGAATCGTATTATATTCATATATTTCTGGAATTAGTATTAATAGTAAAAATACATATTTTTATTTTTCGAATTAAATATATCTCAAAATGAATAGCAAATCTGAATCGAGATAGGCAGGTTTCCTGATTTTATTTATCTTCTATTCGCATCTAAACTCATTTTAACACAAATAATCTCGTGGAAACATTTCGTGGTCAGGCAATTTCACCGAGCAGCAATTTTTTTCGTTCCTTTCGCACACGAACGTCAATTCTGCAAACTATGAAATCGATTTCTCTGCAAAATACAGCAATATTAATAAAAATAAGATAGCGATCTAAGAAAGAGATGAAAAGTGATTGTTGAAAGAGAATCGTTTGATCATTTCCGAATTTGTTCTCCATTCTTTCTGAGATTCCCGATAAATCGAATCGTGTGAGAAATCGGCGGCCTGATAACATTCGATAATTCGCGATCGAATAACTTATTATCCGGCACGGAAAAATTGCATCGGGAAGAATGGCGGAAGGGGTAGCGGGACTTCTGGAAAATGGGATCCCGGTAACGCAATTTGTGCCACGGCGACTTGACCTTCGATAGCTAGAATTGGATATCCGTCGGTCTCCAGTTTCAGGAGGAGCAGCACGATGAGTGCCGCTGCCTTCTCTTCCTTTGTAAGCCGTAACCTCGTTTACTCCGCAATCGCAGGATTTGTTATCCCGGAAAATCATTTTTCCCGCGCGGGAGCTTTCCTCTATTCGGAAAATGAAATTACAATTGTGATCTAGAATGATAGATAGTTGGACGATGATAAGTCGAGAATGATTATGTGACCGAGGTCACATATGATAGATCGGCGAGCGAAATAATAAGAAATCGCTTTATTGAATTTATTGTGAATCATTTATATATAATTCGACATACAGAATTTGCTCCACAACTCACACGCTGTTAATTTTAATGATAGATTCTTGGGATTTTATTTTTTTAATCAATACATTTTTCTATACAGTTCCTTCTTTCTCTCTTCAAACATTATATTATATTTTTAAATACAAATATTGTTAATTATAAAATATAATTTCGAGTTTTTTTTTTTTTTTACTCACTAATATATATTACGTATATTGTTCTAAATAACAAAGAAAAAAAATAAAAAAATGAATAAACATGCAATAAAAAATAAATGTAATAAACGATACGACGAGATAAAATGATACAGTAAGGATGAAGAATGCTGCGAAATTAGCCTCGCGTCGATGCAGGTGATATTGGCGTTCCAACGTCGAGCGTCGCCGGGTTTCATCGGAAAGTTACTCCGCCGCTTCGTCCGGCAAAATCGCAATTTCAAATGTCGGATGTCGAAATTACAAGGAGCTGCTAGCTGCCGATAAACAGCTTACTTTCTCAATAAAGGACGAAGACAATAAGGGCAACTTCGTCCTTGTAGGAATTAAGGCGTTCGCTGGATTAGAGGGACGCCGATACGAAGGATAAGCCGCGTCCTGTACGAAGGCGATGCCGCGTGCAACTCGCGATAGCAGATAAATTACAAATTCTACGAATCGAATATCTCTTTTACAAACAAAGTTTAACGCGAAAATGTATACGATCGCCGGCTTTTGAAAATTACTTCTATTTGAGATCCGGTTTAGAGGGCGGAATTCTCGGCAAAGATCGCTCCAATTTTCTTAATTTCTTTGCACAAGATTTATACATATCTTCAAAAATGAAATCGAAAGAGATGGGTATACATTGCCATCAAATTTTCTTTTCTTATATTTTGATTATTAAAATATTCATGGTTTATATAATAATCGTTATAGTCGAGTAAACGAGAGAGAGACAGAGAAATAATTAAGAATAGGAAATTTTTTTAATTTATTTGATTAAAAATTTAAACATCTGTTTTTTTACTTAATTTTATTAGATTTTATTTTCACAAATTTAGAACTTACGATTTAATATTATAGAGATTTTATTTGAAACAAAAATTTCTTAATTTCTTTGCACAAGATTTATACATATCTTCAAAAATGAAATCGAAAGAGATGGGTATACATTGCCATCAAATTTTCTTTTCTTATATTTTGATTATTAAAATATTCATGGTTTATATAATAATCGTTATAATAGAAGATGTGAATACTAACGACGGATGATTTTAAGAAATGAGAATTATTTGTAATTGACTTATAAGATTAAAGATAAAAGGATTTTATAATTTTGATTAAAAAGAGTAAACGAGAGAGAGACAGAGAAATAATTAAAAATAGGAAATTTTTTAAATTTTATTTGATTAAGAATTTTAAACATCTGTTTTTTCACTTAATTTTATTAGATTTTATTTTCACAAATTTAGAACTTACGATTTAATATTATAGAGATTTTATTTGAAACAAAAATATATACTGTGAAAAAATCAACCAATGAATCTTTTGTTAAGGGAACTCGATTTTCAGTTATCCAAAAGAATCTAAACGAAGGGGATGGCGGCATTTTTGGCACATCGTATATAACAGATGTGTATTGGAAGAAATCGTCGCTAGAATGATTTAAATCTGTACTGTCGAATGCCCAGATAACAACACTAGAGAGTCTCTCTGTCGACAAGTTTTCCAATATAAAGTCGATATTTGTTCTATATAAATGCCAAAACATTGGAAAAATTCACTGTAACAGGCCCTCAACACAGTACTGCTGTTATCGAGGCACTCGGTCGTCACTTTGGAGAGTGACGACCTTTACAAAAACGTAGTTACGAAAAATACAAAATAATTGTTACAAAGAGCGAACTTGTTTATTTTCGTGAAGATCTTTCTATCAAATCAAACTTTGATTTCCATTTTTCCATTTCAATATGCTTTGCCTTTTTTCACAATTGAATTTATTCGGTTATTTGGAACTAAAAGTGAGAAAAGAAATAAATCATGTCCACAACTTTTTATTACAAAACTGCTCACAGTTTTTACTTTAAAAGTTGTTAACAGTAGTTTTTATTCAAACTTTTTACGTTTAATTCGGTTTAAATATTATGTTTTATTTAGATCGTTCAGAATTAAATAAATATGCAAGTAAGGACTTATCTCGAGTGATCTTGATCACGGTCATAATTCTGACTCTGAGTAAAAAGTTTTAGACATCACTTATTATTTATTAAAAAGTTATTAACAAATAAAAGTTTATGCAAATGGGGTTGTAACTTTGTGCATATATTACGTTAGAGATTTACTTGGTTTTCGCATGTGTTAAATGTCTATTTTGTAGAAAAAGTAATGTGAGGTGGACCTCGTTTTGCATGGAAAGTAACAAACCCATGAGGAAGCGTATAATTATAGACCTCGTCGTACTGAAAGCACCAAGTGATGTGGGTAGAAAGTGTCTAGTTTCTCGTGGAAAGTTGCAAACCCATGATTCTCTTGCTGCATTTAATTTAAAAAAATTTTTGAATATTCTGTATGTAAAAAAGTCGATACTTTTTCTAAGTGTGTACGGAATCTACATAGTATGGATAGCAAAATCCATATTAACCAAGTTTAATAATTCATTTTTCATTGTTAGTAGTCAACGTTCGATTTGAATCTTTATTTATTAATCATTTTTTAATAAACAAGCGACGCTAAAATCTTTTAAAAATTACTCATTGTCAGAGTCGTAACTTTGATAAAAACAGGATCATTTGAGGAAAATCCTCTATATATGTACTTACTTAGAGTCGAGTTCTTCTCAAAGAGAAACACTTTATTAAACGTACATTACGTTTTCCAGAATTTTATTTTTTCTTATTAATCACACATATATGCATATATATATTCAAACTTAAAATTTTTAATTGTAGTGTACGAATAACTAAAGAAGATATCATCCATTTATATCCACACATAAAGTTTTTGCTGTCTCTTATTTCTTCTTTTCTTTTAAGTTTTACAATTTTAAAACTAAAAAAAAATTATTTCTCTCTCCATTCTTTTACTATATATTTAAAGCACTGAAAATAACATATTGAATTTGCAAAATAACAATAATGATTCTCATTTATTTGGACTTATGATATCTATATCTTGTATAGGAACAAAATAAAATAAAACGCAGTATCGTCCTTTATTCTCAAGAACGTTCTGTTCTTGGAATTCTTTTAGTAGAATGTTCTATAATGGGGTTCTGTAACTTTATATCAGATCTTATAACATCCTCAAGATCTCATCGCGAATGTTGGTTTTGTATCGATTCTGTTTGCAGTTGAACATTTTCGAAACTCTGCGCAAGCATCTCTACAAAATCTTGCCACTCTGATTATATTACCATTAGCGGTTAAAACTAATAAAAAGATCGATATTTCAAGATAGTTCTTATGTTTGTAATACTAAAATTAAATAAACATTTTTGTCGAGGAAATCAATTTTTCTTCCTGAAACATTTTTATTTTTATTCAACCAAACCTGAGTAAAATTTATGAATCTCACTCTCAATTTATGAATAGGTAATACATATATGTAAAAATAACAAAGTGTAGTTTATACGTAAGGATTATAAAAAATTTAAAACTTAATTAATTTTGTGTGTTACATATAGATTATAAAATAAAAAAAACTTAACATAAATTATTATTTGGTATAGAAAAAAAAAAGTAAGAAAAGAGGATATATATGTGGCCATATGGCAAAAAATTCAAATGAATGTAACATTTACAATCCCGAAAATAAAATAATGACAACCGAAGGGCATCATATCAACCATCCTGTACTCGCACATACACTTGCACTTACGGTCGCGCATTTCGCTATCGCGGTTTTTATGGCCAGAATAAATTTCGCCGCGGAACGATCTCTTGAGCGTCGATATCGAACTCGTGCACCCGCCGTGCACAAATGCACACATAACACCTCCGTCGTCCTCTTACGTATGACATGCGCGCAGACAGCGATTTAAATTCTGGAATAAACGTTACGACGATGACGAGTTACGTTACGAGAATCGAAGATCGATACGATCGACACGACGATCTCCTTTCGACCGATACGCCGCTCGAAAAATATGAGGGGTGGGCTTAAGCTTTGAGATATGAGGATGATATAGTGCTTTATCGGAGAGTCGAGTTCCGAAGCGCTAAATGTTTCGAGAGACATCGACAGGATCGCTATGTAATACATGATAAATTTACTCCCGCCCAAAAACGAAGAATAGATAGATAGGTTCGAGGATTAAGATCAATAGAAAAGAATTAAAGGAAGTTGTGTGTTGTGTGAGCCGCTCGAACGAAAGTAGTCATGCTTTTTTGCAAACGGTTAAAAGTTGATAAAATGGAAAAGCATCATCTTACTAAAGTTGTATACCAATCAATATTTTTCAGAGTAATATATTAAATTCTTTGACGATTTATACAACAAAATTTGAGACAAAGAATTTCAAGAATATTTTGTGGAATTATACATTTTTACAAAATTTTGAAATAAAGAATTGTGCAAAATTATAAGAGATAAAAATTGAAAAATACTCTTTTATAGCAAGTAAATTGAATTACATTTGGAATAATTATTCGAATATTGCAAATGCATTTAAAATCTGTATATTTTTTCATATCGTAGTCTTTATATCTTTATATGTTTCCTCGCGTGGAAATGAAAAATGTCGATAAGTGTCACTAAATGTTAGTTGGCCATTTATGCTAAATTTATGCTAATAATATATTGAATATGAAGTAACTGACAATGAGAATCTAATTATTTTACGTATATCCAAGAAATCGTATATTGATATTTTAAATTAAAATTATATTAGATTAGAACAATGTATTTTCCTGAAAAATTTGAAGAATATATTTAAAAAACTAATTTTTTAAATAATTAACAATTGCTGTCATGTTTAAGTAATTAATAAATATTCGAAACATTGTGTTGTTTTATTCCTCTAATATTATCACGATGTTATAAAAAAGAAAGAGAAACATAGACATTGTAAATACAAGGGTTGTCTAATTCGTCATCGTTAGTTAGTGTTTTCCAAAGTCTTTCTCCGTATTATAAATCGAGCTTCGATTATTGAAAAAATATTTCGATTCAACAAATTTTTGGTGTCTATTGAAGAATGAGCTGATAACAATAGCACCGATGAAAACTATGAACATCCCTTGCGCCAAAAGCTTCGCAGCAAAGCTGATTCGCATGGACAGTATTTGCATTCCAGAGCATAACACGCATACACATCTGTGTGAGAGTGCGCGTATGCATGTAGGTTAGATTTACATATTTGTTTCGGCATAATGAATTCCATGCATGGTCAGCTGCTAACCACGCAAAAGTTATTACGGATACACAGATTACAGGTCGCGTCCATGCGACTTGCCGCGCGGACAAAATCGACCGGCAACAACGCACTCTTGTTTTTATTAATTTGGTTTGCAAAAATGTTTAATATTCCTCGGAGTTGTATTTAATCATTTGGAAATTTCGTTATTTAATTTAGAGATTTTTTGCTTTTGGTTGAAGTTTGTCCAATTAAATTTTGTTTTATTTATTTATGCAAAAAGTTTTCTCGCTAAAAAGAGTTACTTGTAAGAAGTTTGTGCAATACACTCTTCGCTAATTATTATGTATATTTATTTATGTGTATTTTAAATATTTTTAGAATCACAATTCTCTCTCTTTCTCTTATTTAATATTTTCTAAATTTTAATTATTTATTTTTCGTCTTTTTTATAAAGCGTATAGAATGGTTTATTTGAAAGGACTCATTTGATTGTTTCCATTACTGAAAGTTTTACAGAGAACGCTTTTTTTCAATAAAATTTATATATTCTGCTATAAAAGCCATAGATGAACTTTATACTTTTTAAAATTATTTTAAAATAAAAATATAAATTTTTAATCATACATTTTGTATGTGCAGATACATACATATATATATATATATATATATATATATATATATATATATAATTATATTATGTTTTTTCCTGAGTTTTTACAATTTAAATAAATGATTGTATTGAGTATTATAACAAACAAGTATATTAAATTTTAAAAGTTTGGTTAATAGATAAAAATGATGTATATAATGAATATATAATAGATAATGAATAGGTAATGGAAAATAATGGAAAGTTTATATATATATATTAAAAATAATACGTACTTATTGTAAAGAGTTAAGCACTGATAGAATGTTTTTTGCGCGAATTTATTTATTTTCGAATGTTACGAAGTTTTAATTGATCTTTTGCATTTTTTTCTTTGCAGGTATTTCCATGCACAAGGGTTACGCATTCGTGCAGTTTACAAATCCGTTTGATGCACGCAGTGCGTGCCTCGGCGAAGATGGTCGCACCGTCCTCAGCCAGATTCTCGGTGAGTAACTTTCTACTCTTTCATCATATTATTTAAAGAGTTATTTTGAGAGACTCGCAAAAAAGGTTGCACGTACCACAATCCTGAAAATGCGTTGTTAAAAGAGGTTTTCAGAGGCTTTAACTTGCAACAAAAAAGTACACATAAGTATGATTTTATTTTATAATTTTATCATTTGTCGTTTTCTATGACATTTATAGAAGATCGGACATATAAGTGAAAAATATTTTACAAGTGTTTTTATACGAAAAATATTGATTATTCGTTGAAAAAATTTGAAGCGACAGGATTGTGGCGACAGGCATCACTTTTTTCATCGACACATTGACATATATCGACACTTTGTAAAGCGATAATGAAACACAAGGAATGAAAAAGCGGTTTGCATTAATATGCAACGAAGCGTAACATGCCGGTAATATGAAGGATCACTTTGACGTGATCACTTATTCAACACTTGTGGGGGAAAGTGTATCACTTTTAGCATTTGCGAAACGACATCGAGCATCTTATATAAGACATATTTATGACTTGTGTGAAAATATAAAAAGCGCGCTATAGGTCCGTAATAGATATTGAAAATGTAATATTGAAGAGAGAGCCAGCTAACGTAAACTTTTTCAGATAACATTGTATCGGTTTTTTTTTATCGAAATTATCTTCCTTTATTTGAGAGAGGAGAGTGAAAGAAAAATGTTACATTATTGCATATTATGCATATACTGCATTGTTATACCGAAATCATTTTATAATACCATTAGTCCAGATTTTTCATCGATCTTTTATTTATTTCACGTATACGATAAAATTTGAAAAACTTTATTTTAATTTGGTTAATGAAGCTTAAAAAAGGCTATTCATTCTTTATAAAACCCAAAATTAGGAAAACTACTTATTATGATTTTGCAAATCTTCGATATCTATTAAAAGCAAGTTGTGGAACGAGTCGTATTGTAAGATTGCTTTATCGAACGCAAAGAAATTTGCTTAAAACGAAAAGTCACTCATGCAAACGCGTAAATTATGAGAATCACGTGTATTTCCCTGGCATCTGGCATTCTAATCCAACATAGCTGACGTGGGTAAATGCCGGTCCTTAAGATATTAAATTAGAAACACCGCATTCGCATTAGAACCCGCGCGCAGAAATTGCGGAAACCCGACTATAGACGACCATGGGAATAGATCCCGTCGTTTGGTTATGACGGCATACGGCATAAACCATTTTACAAAGGCAGGACTGAATATCGCACGCGTGAAATAAACAAACAACGACGATGGGATTAAAATCTGGGTACAATCTCGGATTCAATGGTACACACGATTACTAGAAAGCATCGTATTTCCCTAAATAAAGCAAATCATCACTGTATTCCCTTTGTTTAAACGTGGATAAAGCTATATAAATAGTGCCAATTCTAGCCCTAATAATTTATACACATATATAGATGAAGATCGAAATTTCTTATTTGTATTTTTTGTTTAAAATTAGTAAAAAAAATAAGAACGATATATTTAATTCGACCCAAACTAGCCAAGAAAATTTTTATTTTTTTCAGTTTTTTGACGATTTATCATAACGATAAGATGCGGTTACTTTCTTTCAAAAGTTATTTCAAATGTTTTTAAAAAAGTCCGATAATCATATTGTTTTAATAATCATGACAACAGTGTCAACTAACTGCGCTTTTATCAAGGAATTTTTCACTTGAAAAGGACCAAAAACAGATGGTCGAAGCGTTGTGGAAATAAAATAAAAATTTTCTTGACTAGTTTGGATCGAATTAAATATATCGTTCCTATTTTAAATACCACTAGCGACGTTTTAAGTATTCGATTTGATTTTAGTAAAAAAAGTCTGAAAAAATGAGAAAAGAGGCAGAATTTTCTTTGTAATATTTTACGATTAATTAAACACTAAGTACGTGTGTTTGTTATACCAAAAGGTCTGTAAAAAGAGTTACGATCCTCGTAGAAGTTTGAAACACCCATGCCATTTATTTGTCATATATGAGAAGCGTTCATGAGATTGTTGAACACGCCCGTGGGACACGTGAAATTGTTGAGGCGTATCCTATACGTTCCCCCGTAATCCATGTCCTTCATGTCCTACATGTTCCACGTATGCTATCTCTCGAGTATCGATGCGCGTATCAGGATCGAATTTTTCCGGACACTCTTCCTGTCTCTCGATACAACCTTTTTCGGCGTTCTTCACAAGCTACGTTCTTCTATCCGAGTATTTCTCGCATTACGTTGGCAAATATATGGAGAACCACTCCTTATCCTTCTACCTTCAGCTTATTTTTAATTTAGCGCAAACAGAAGTCTGTTATTTTTATTCATATAACAATGTGGAGATATAAAATAGAAGAAAATTACGTTGTATCTCTCGCAATGGTATATTGCGCTATGAATGGCTGGGAAACGCGGCTTATTCACTCACCGCGTCGCCGCTAAATGGCGGCGTGGGAAATCGGCCGCTTTCCGCACAGAAAACACGCACACAAAGTGCCACTTTGCCTGCACGTGTAATACAAAGAATATTTTTAGCTTGAAAAATTTCGTGACAAAATATAATGAAATTGACGTTTAAAGGTCTGATAAGTGTGGAAGGTTGAAAATAAAAATTCGAAAGTCACATTTTCTTCGTGCGTATCTCAAAGCCATCCGTACTTTTATCCAAATATTTCTCACCGTTCCCTGCATTATAGCACCGCGCAAAGCTGTCCACCCTCCTATTTCTAACCCGCTTCCCCACCCCTGTGGCAAGTCGCACTTGTAAATGCACGTCAACGTTCGCGCGCGCGCGCAAGTCCGCGTGTGTACGTGCTTGTCCGCCCCGAAGGTAGGCGAAGCATCGGGCGAACTGCCGGAAACACAGTTCTTGCATTAGCCGAAGAAAGATTTCTGGGGTAATCGTGGCGGAGAAACTGCCATCCCTCGAGAGAGGACGGGTAGAAGAGAGACAGAGAGAGAAACGAAGAAAGAAAGGACGCGCACGCGCACTTGTCGTTCTTATTGCTTCAGGAACCGAAGGGTTCACGAGGTGGCAGAGGGTGGTTAGCGAACGGCTAATTCCATCGGGTGTGCGAACGAACGGAGTAAAAGAGTTCCCACGCGATAAGCTTTAACCCTTTGACGGTGCTTGTATCTCCCGAAAAGCGAATCGATCTTTTCTATCGGGTGGCGCGAAAAAGAAGAAAACGGTATACCCTCAAGTGTACTGGAAAAAACAGTCCTCCCCGTCTTTTAGACCCTCGAGAGAGTTCAAGCGATCCCCTAAATTTCGAGTAATTTACTACTCTATTTAGTTTTGAGACGACAAACAATGCGAAGAAAATTCAAGCATTTTTGATTGTTAGAAATTCCGAAACAATCAACTCGGTTTTGCATGTTGTTTTGTAACCTGAATTTTCTATCAAATTCTCTTTCAAACATTTTTCGCGCTTTGTATTGTTCAAAACACGTGTAGAATTTAATATTTTTTGCAAATGCATATATATTTAGAAATTTACAGAATTCGCAACGAAATATAAACGCACCCATTTTTTAAGATTCTAGGAAAAAAGTCAGATTAATATTAATTGTGATATTCACTTCGCGAACGTCATCAACGTTTAACGTCGACTATCCGGAAGACGAGGGTCACATGACGAGAGTAATGCACGGCATATGCAAATACCGGGTGGACGATGATTTATTATACTAATCTCGTTACGAATTAATGTGCTGATTTATGATGGCGCGGTCCTTTTTCACTCTTCGCAAGGTGTCCCGACGCCGCATGAAAATGCGGCATAAGTCATCCCCGTTGCACGGATTTTTTCAAAGCCAACCGCCCCTTGCCCCACCCTCAAAATATCCGTAAATCTAACACATTCGTATATTAAAAGCTCCAGGAATTCCTATTTTTGGCATTTTTTTGGTGCAGCATCAATAGCTCTTAAGCTTATAATAGGCTAAAAATTAAATACCATGATAAATTGCGTTTATTAAATTTATTTTTAAAGTTTGTGAGAGATATACTTCATTTCGAAATTAATCGAGCGTTCGAAATAAATCAGACAAAATCTTATAATTCTCATTAAAAATTGACTCCATATTTCTCATGACAATTGTGATCGTATAATCTGCTTAAAAACATATACATACACGGTAGATTTAATAAATTTTAAACTTATATTAACTAATATCTCTTGCACAACAGAATTTTATTATAAATGCGTAACGTATAGCGCCGATTTACCGGAGTGCGAAAATATATAAAGATAAATATAGAGTACAATTTCTAGTGAATATTTTTAGTAAAAACTTTTTGATACGTTTGTACATTGCGCGATAGATTCGCGAATCGTACATATAAATTGATATTCTTTTATTTATTTATTTTTTTTTTTTTTTTCACACACTTTCTTTAGATATTGCAGTTTGCTCTGTGTGTCAGAATTTTATTATAATTCTATACGATGTAGAATGATTTTTCAAGAAAATACGAACGGCAGAGATATAAAAGTAGAATAAGGATGGGTGATGTCAGACAAGGCCGGCAATGCCGGACGTTGTAATTTTCGCTCTACTGGTGCTGAAATCTGAAAAATATAAAAGCTGTAAATCTGACAAACTATCTTCTTGATTTGAAAGAAAAATTACAATTTTTAATTTTATTTACTTAAAAGTAAGACGAATCTTTTTAGTAATAAATTATGTAAACATTTTTAGTAATAAATTTTGTATAATTTTACAAATTAATTTAATTAAATTCATCGGATTAATTATTAAATTAATTAAATTAATCAAACTGGCGTTACGGTAATCCAATAATGTTTAAATGGATGTTATGTGAGAATGCCATTATGTGTTTTCGTATAACCAATATTGAATATGATGATAATGTGGATTTGAACAGCGACAGAAGCTTGAGAGGAAATAAAATGTACTTAGGTCGCCGCTGAATAACAGAGTTCGATTGAATCATTAATTCTGACAGTAGAGTAGAG